GCATCCTGGATGGTTCTGGCATAGTTGCTTCCATTGTTTTACAGATAAAATCTACTACAGACTCAGTGAGTTTATTGATGTCATCAGCGACATTGTTTATACCCATTGTGGTACAGTTAATATGTTGATGGAAGTCAGACGTTACCTTCTCAAGGTTAGCCTGATCAAAGTCTCCAGCAGTGAGCACAGGGTTAGGTTTACAGGTCTGTGAGCAGTTCAGGTCTTTGCAGAGATCTAGCAGCCTCTGTATTCCTTGTAGTGGAATATAGACCACTGGGATCATGACCAACGTAAATTCCCTTGCCAGAAAGTTGGTATGCATTAGATGGACATTAACTCCAGATCAGGTGAGCAAGAAAAGGATAACATTTAAACATTCCAATTCTAACACCAGTCCTTTTCACCATAAAGCACACGCCCCCTCCCTTTTTTTTCTTGGAGTCCTCTGTTCAGTATATAGAACAAAAGTCACTTGGTTGAATGGCACTGTCGGGTATTCCTGGATTTAGCCGATTGCCATTGAAATGAAGCACATTACAGTTCCTGATATCCTGCTGGAGACTGATGACTTTGACTGATGGAGATTGTCCAGTTTATTGTCAAATGCCTGTATTTTGGCAAGACCCTTTCTGGCCAAGAACCTATCCGGCTAGGATCTTAGCTGGTGTTTGATCCCTCCTCGCTTGGCTTGGTACCTTCTCCGTTGTTTAGATGGATGCAGAGATGGTCTTTCTTGTCAGTGCAGTTGGGATTATAGCTGGAGCTCATCACTTCCACTTTTTACTCATTTTTTCTCTAATGATTACATTTTAAAACCACCACTGGCCATTATGCAGAGTCAGCTGGTGAGTGACTCTAGGTCATGTGTTATTCAATACTGATCACGAAAGTACAGCTGATATTTGTTATTAAACCTAAATATCATATGTTTGCATACATTTTGCGGAGCTGACAGAGAGGTGTTTGGAGAGGTTTGCGTCTCCATATACTGTAGCAAAACCTGCATGACCTGAACTCTCTGCCATACTCATAATCACCCCACTACAGTACAGTTGTCAAGTGACTACGATGCAGCCATTGCAGACTTAAATGTCAATACAGATGCCATTTTCAAGGTTCTTTAGTGATTGGTGGGTTTCTAATATAGTACAGGGAGCACATTTGGATTAATGTTTGGCTAGAGATGCTGAGGATGAAGGTCCTTGACCAACAAAACCATGTTTTAGGGAGCTAGTTTGCATATTATAGATTGAAAACAAGTGTGTTTTATGACGCCTATCAAAGTACTGAAGATGAAGAAGCTTTATTATGACTGTTTAATGAGAGAATAGTTTTATTACTGCTGCTCTCTTTGTGCTGAATCAACCACTTTCACTATGTATTTCCACACAATTGAACCGACTTCCTCTGCCCTTCTTTTTAAGCAGTTAAACATTTCTTTGATATAGTAAAATGCTCTCATAAATTACGATCTAAACTCTCCTCGCTACATGTAGCAACTTGATAAAAGGGAACACTTTGCTTCATGTCGGATGTGATGCAATAAGAGTTATATTGTCACTTTGGTGTGTGTGTGTGTGTGTGTGTGTGTGTGTGTGTGTGTGTTTTCGCCTACATTTATAGGAATTTGAATCTTGCATGCCAGGACAAAGACACTGATGCATGGGTGTGCAGCTTTCACACAGGAAACAGAAACAAAACGTTTGATTTCATCAGATGAGAACAGGCAGCAGACAATGAGCTGATGCCCTGGTTTATAAAGTTGAACCACTGTGTAAAAGTAACAGTGGATAGAATTGATCTACGCTTTTGGTAAATCCCATATATGCAAGCCTTTTTTCCAATAACAAGGTCATACTTTAACCCCCTATCTGACATGATATTAAAGCATGAATGACCTTCTTGAGATCAGGTCAAGACAGAAAAGACCCCATTTTTCAGATGCTTCACGACCGATAAAGACACGACCGAACAACTTTTGTAACTTGTGTCTGTACATATATCTTTTTAATGTTGACAGACTGAGTTTATAGTTTCCTGTCTGGCTTCCTGTTGTGTCTTGAATACTGTAAATTTCGCGTAGACAAAAGCATGGGATGAAGAAGTCACACACACAGTCATGATCACAAGGGCACTTTATCTTTTTACCCACTACAGCGGCCTTTTCAAAGTACGTTCTGTTGCATTCATTATGCACACAATGAGGACATACACTTCGTCATAACATTGAGCCCTAAACTTTGACACTCTTGCTCATATATCTGTCACCTTGGGGATAAAATAAAAACATTCACATCGAAGATTTTAATATATTATATTCACAACAGTCTGTCTTTGTTATCTTTATAATTATGTCCTTTTGTTCTTGGTAACATTTATGATTATTTAGTTAACTTAAACAAGTAATATTATTACATAACAAGTCATAGTCACCTGTGTGCTCTGTCATTAGTCATTGCTGCTTCTGTCAGCTGTCAATGAGCTGTCAGCTACTATGTGTCTGTGGCTCAGTCGATGTGACACATCGTCCACTGCGGAGAGGATTGTGGGTCAGAATAGCCAGGAAAGCATGCTGCCTTGCATACTGCAAAATCCAACCGGATGAAGTAGAACATTCTGGTACTTTTGGCATACTGCAATTGTTATGCTGTGTATTGGGACATATGAAATCTTTTCCTGTCACTATGCTGACTAACTTGTCTTTTGTAGGCTATGTGCAACACAGCAAAATATGTAGGCCCCATGTAAACAAACCATTATAAGGTAATTTAAAAGATATGAGTTTTTCAGCATCACTATTGATGATGTTGTTTGAATTTGTAGCTCAATCTGGGTTACATAAATGATAGATATCTGGCCGGTTGCACAAAGCACCTTAAGTTAAGATTTTCCTTAAAGTCAGAGTTAAGAAAAAAAATCTGTTACACAAAACATCCTAAAGTCTTCCCCTTAAGGTTTCCTTAAAATGTTTACTTAAGGATTTATTTTTTCTCCTTAATTTGGTCTTATACTTAAAGAATTGCTTTAAGCTTGAGCTAGAGCCTTAATAACCAGAGTAAGGACAAAAACATTAAGTACCTTTGACTCAATCTTAACCACAACACTGTTGAGTTTATGGATATAAATGGAAAAAATTAAGGCATCCCGAGAAGAGTGGCACTTAAAACTTTACCAGACGTTAGTTTATGATTGTGACGGTCTTGGGTTGGTTCACTCAACTTTCCAAAGCTGCTCTTCCAGCCCCTTCCGAATTAATGGTTGCTCTGCAGTTTCATGCAATAGGATCTTTCTGATCAGTTAATTCAATTCAATTCAATTTTCTTCATAAAGCCCAATATCACACATAACAATTAGCCTCAGAGGGCTTTGCAGCATACGACATCCCACTGTCCTGTGGACCCTCACAGCGGATAAGGAAAAACTCCCCCCCAAAAAAACCTTTAATGGGGGAAACTGGCGAGGTATTTTATGTAAGCCTTAAACTTAAGGTGTTTCATGCAACTGGCCCCTGATGTATATTTATCAGAACACCCATTTATATAAAGGTGAAAACTTTATGGTGTTATCAAACCACTTCAGGAGTCACGCAGGTCAACTTTCCAACTCTGCTGTTGTCAGCAGAGTTTTGATATCTTACTGGCAGTTTATAAATAGTGGTGTCCTCTTTGGCTCTGCCACTTCACATAAGCATGGGTTAAATCTAACTGCAGCTGTGATGGAAACTAACAATGGCACTATGATAATAACTTTTACGTGCATTGAAAATAGAACAGCTGTTGTTGGGGTTTGTTGCTATTTGCTTCTGAAACTGTACTTCACCACTTCTTCCTTCGGGATCGATCTGATCATCACATTTTGTGGGGGATGCAGCTCAGTTGGTAAGTTTCTGGATGGCATGGTAGGAGTTTAATCTTGACTTGCGATTCCTTTGTTGTGGTGAACTTGTTAGCTAACAGTTGACTATTTACACATCCAGCAGATACAGAGCAACATTAGCATTTATCTGGAGTCGTGTTGCTGGCCACATGATGAATGCCAATCCAACATTCTCTCTTTTAGCTCTGTTTTTGGTCTCCACCATCTCATATGGGAACTATCTGGCTGTTTAGCTGCTAAATGCTCCATTATGCTCACCAGCTAGATGTTAACTGTGTTTGTTTGCTGTTTGGTGCTTAGCAAGCAGTGTAAAACAGGTGCCTGGAGAGCTGATAGCAATGTTGTGAGATCAGTGAAAGGGAACAGTGAAATTAAAATTAAAACAGACAAAACAATGAGTTGAAAGATACTAAGATAGTCTGTAGAACTACGGAGATAATTATCTGTGGGTTCATTGTTGTAAGCAACTTCTTTCATGGGTCCTTTACACATAATGATCCGTTGTTTACATAAAGAAAATTGATTATTGCAGCTTTAACTTTTGCATCTGTTGCAGTGTGCATACACTCAGTCCTCTCTCACCTTGGAGCAGTGTGGTATTTTTTTCTCCCTGATAAAGCAGCATAAAGAGAGTTTACTTGGCCTGCTCAGGATCAGGGGGGCTGCTGTACATGGCATGACATTGCAACTCAAAGGCAGCTCTTGGCTAGAGTGCGTCAGAGGAATTATGGGATCAGATATCATTCGTCACATACAAAACCCACACACAAACACAGGCACACAGAAAACCCCTCTGTTCCTCAAATAGAGGGGAAAATTTGAGGCAACCACTGACAGAAGGGTAGGCTTGTCCCTGTGCTTTTGTTTATCCAAGGCTCTGTGAAATCCTTTCTGTGCCAACAGCTGCAAATATACACATCCAGTCCATGTACATCGACACAGAAATAGAGATGGCTTTTATCCAGTAAACTCAAATCCCCATACACTGACAACGCATACTCACACCTGCAGATACACACATGAGCGCAAACACTTGCATGTACACCCTGGCCTGTGTGCGCGGTGTTGTGGGTGATTGGTGTGTATTCTGACACCGTGGATCAGAAATAGCACCTCATGCCCAGAGACACACTGCTCCACATAAAGCTCTCTGTCTGCTACTTAACTACAAACATTCAGGATATCAGCTGGAAGGCAAACTTTATTTCCAGTGATACACTTCTGAAGGTCCACTGGTGCAGGGCAGATGGTGAGTAATTCTCCTCAATATTATATTACAACGTTTCATAAAGACAGCCATCTTTGAGGTGGATGACATCCCATGCTAGCTGCCCACGGTGACTCACACCTGACTGAGTTTGAGTGAGTGAGTTTGTTGTTTGTTTTGAAATTGAGTCACTGTTTTAGTGTTGCTGTTTTTTATAATTAACAAAGGCTCAACCTTGTGCATCTCCTTAGTCTACTTCTTCTGTCAGGTTGAAGCAGCAGTTTCCCCTTTCCTAGTCTTTTCATATGTCTCTCCCTTCCAAATTAATTAGCCTGGACTCTTTGTAGCAACAGTAACACCTGATCTGTTTGCTTTGGAGCACAAGAGACCTTTTTGGATAATTCAGCTCCCAGTAGAAACCTCCTGGTTGTCAGAGAAATAAGGTGAGCACACATTAGCAGCTGCTACGCTAACAGCCCGTCTCCAACCTGCCAAACATAAAAGGAGACATGGTGATTTGTAACATGAAACTGCTTTATTCACTTTTTTGATTGGTTTTAATCATTTGGTTCATTTGGTCTGGAGAGGAAGAGACCCCTGTGGGTAATTCGGCTCCTGATAAAAACCTCCTGAACAATGAACAATGACGGAATTCTAACTGGGAGAAGTTTCAGCTGGTTGCAATCTGCAGTCCTCACTGCTAGATGCCACTAAATTCCTCTAAACCTCACACGCTGCTCCTTTAAGATAGGAGTTTCTTCACAAAAAGGAATAGTTCTGCATTTTGGAATTTTTTTTCAAAATGCAATACTGAGATGACATAGGCTAGTATCTGTGTGTCAAGCACAGAGGCTGTTTAGCCTAGCTTAGCATAAAGACTGGAGGCAGGGGTAAACAGGTGGCCCAGCTCTCACCAAATATCAAGTTGGGGCTTTACGAGGGGTTATGTGCTGGATTTTTTCTTGGCCAGGAGCAGTGACTTCTATAAGTCTTGTTGACAGATATATCATGTTCATTAGTAATATTTAGAGCTTTTTGTTGGGAGATATTTTTGACACAACCAGGCTAAACTCAATGTCTACTGGCTCATATTTACCAGATATTATTAACAAGAATGCAAAGCTCTCTGTTCTTTAAAAACAATAACCTTACTTTTCCCCAGTAGATGCCTGTAGAGTCTTCATATCTGGATTTCAAAACATTTCTTCTCACAGTAAATTATTTCTCTAACATTTCTCAGTTCTATGCAGTATATCAGAAGAGGCCATTTTTTCCACAACAGTGAAAACGGCCATCGTGTTCAGTCTGCACTATCAGAGCCGAGCTAAGATCAGGTGCTTTGGCCACAGACACATTTGAGATGAGCCTCAGGCAAAAGCTGACCAGTCTGACTTCGATCAGCAGTCCAGTGCTAGATACTCAGAGGTAGACCCCGGGTTTTTTATTCTGTGTCAGAGCTAACAGCCATTGTCATTTGGCAGGGGAGGCGTTTTGCTGTCAATTTGATTTATTCAAACTATTAGTGCAAAAGGTGAGACTATGGTGACAGATCTCCATGGTGATGAGGGGCTTGTGTACTCTGATGTTTGCTCAGTTGGACCTTTAGGGCTGAATTTACACAGGAGCTAAAAGTGCAAGTGATTATTTAACCGTGTGCTATCAAGCTTCATGTTCACACTTGAGGCTGTGGCTTCCATTAGGGACACTCAGGTCCTGTCCTGAGTATTTGCTTCTGGGAATCTGTGGTGTTTAGTAGCCTGAGGGGCAGTTTGCAATATGCTGTTAAAAACTTAGACACGGTGTGTATCTTTTTAGGCAGAATCCAGAACACGCATATTAATAGGAAAGGTTTGGCATTTTTTGGAAATAGATTTATTTGTGTTCTTGCTGAGAGTAAGGTAAAGGTAAAGATTGATACCACTCTTATGTACTAAATATGAAGCTACTACTAGCAGCTGGCTAACTTAGCTTAGCACAAAGGCTGCAAGTGAGGGGAAACAGCCTGGTTCTGTCTCAAAGGTAACAAAATCTGAATTTTATTCATATCCTCCTGGGACCCCAGCTTTTGTTTAGCATGCACTTTAAATTTCACCTGGCTATTTGGGATTAATAGGACCTGATCAGTATAAAAAACTAATCATTGTATTTGAACAGTAAGTAGTTTTGAAAAAACAAAAACAGAAAGATGTCCTCATATGAGGACAATGGGTTTATTTTTAATAGCCACAAGTGTGTAATGAAGTATGAAACAGTTTATTTCAATGCCTGAATGTTGTTGTGCAAAAACAAAACTGAAAACAATGCAATATTTTGTAACTCTATGGGATAGGGGTCACTGTTTAACTCTAAAACTGTTCAAAACGGTTCATTTCAATACCTAAACATGGCTCTGCAAAAACAAAATTTCTAAAAGTCTTGGGATTTGTTCATTTTGTAGCTCTGAATGAATTTTCCTTGCTCCAGACTCAAAGATAGGGATGTCCCTTTTGTCTGTAGTGACAGTCTTACTAGCCAATATAAAATGCTGTGATAAAAAAATAATAAAGTCCCAATGTCCTCAAATGAGTCCTTTAAATCAATAGCATCATAGCTTGTTTCTGTTGCTACAATTGCTCAAATTTGTATGCAGTATTAAAATACAGATGTTATTAAGCACAAATTAACAAGTTTCAACCATAAAATTTTGATCAGGTTTTGTACCTTGTCCACTTTTGTGTCGTGATTGGCTGTAGACTGAGCATAAAAGTGTCCACGAATGACGACAATAGGTTAAGTTAAGTTAAGCAGAATGAAGTATAAGGTGCAGCAAACCCAAAATGGGCCTCAGGGGGATATGGGCAAACTACAGAAATGCTCTATTTCATGGTTGCATTGCCGAATAATTTCCTGAAAATAACTATGTAACCCAACAGAGAGGTGCAAGGATGACATTGTTTTGAAGACTAATGCAGAAGTTAGCACCACCCTGGCTCCCTCGTCAAAAAAGCCAGTTAGATTTTTCCATTGAGTTTGGATGATTGCCGAAAATAAGCTCTGTGGAAAACAAAGGTTTATGATGCTTACAGGTTTTGTTCAGCAAGATAGTGTTCTCAAATGAACACCACTTTTATAATTTCTGAAGCATAAATGCAGTCAGCAGAAGTAAATGGCTAACTACACCATGGTCGCATGACTTAGCATGCCTACCACAGCAAGGCTGTAAAGCCATGTTCACCGTGGTGACGTTCTGAAGTCTCAAGAGGCTGCTGACGCATTTCATGTTGTATAACAAACCACGAAAGACTCGAAAGCTTGTTATAACCACAGACTTTATTTCAGACATTGAAGAAAAAACCCATTAACTACAATACGAGGCACCCAGGGGCACTATAATGCTAACTCATTTACAGGTTTTTGGAGTCATTCCTGCACCAAGAGGGAAGATGGAGAAAAAGTTGTTGGAGTTTGTTGAATTTCCTTGAAATAACTGTTGCTATTTAGATATTAAATCAAAAACTTACAGGATTATAATATAAAGGCTAACTTATAAATAAAATCCAAGTAATAGAAAATATCTGGAGACTTTCTTCTTGGTGTCTGGGAGTGTGGGGTGTTAGGCAGACCTCAGCTCAGGAACACAGATCTGTTGCTAAATGGAGGAAAAAAACTTTTACTAATAACTACCATTCACTCATTCTCTAGCCTGCTTAGTAGTTTTCAAGGTCACAGGGAGCTGGAGGAAGGGCTACCATACATACCAATGACCACATAAATTCACTTTCGAACGTTTAAAGTTTCCACTTTAGGCTTCATGTCCTTGGCCTGACTGCACTTACCCCGAGCAATATAGCCACTGTGGCCCTGGGTTCGACATTTTACATATTACAGAGACTTTTACAGTGTTTTTTAGTGCAGTATGCTGACGTCCTTGTTTGTCAGTCTCTCTGGACTCCTGTTATTGCCCATACACATGTTGTACACACTGTAATTAGCCCGTTATGGCTGAAGTCTGTCAACAAACTACCTTGCTTCACTTGCTGTTTTGTGCTTTATGGTAATAATGCTTTTAGAGGTGCAGCATTCTGAGAAGACTTGGCCTGATGTGCATTTATTGGTAAATACCTAGTGGAATGACATTCTCCACTTTGATTGTTTTGTTGTGTTGCGTCCTCTCCATTTTTCCCATTTTCTGTCATTATCGCTGTCCACTTCATTATTCACCTCTGTATTTATCCCCCATAGACAAGCACTCTAACCAGTCCTGTTTGTCTTGCACTAATTCACCCTCATTTCCTGTTTAGGGTTGATTTTGTTCTGTAGTGAATTTTGTTTTTTTAGGTAGACTGTTTTATTAAGAAAGAGACAGAAATGCATGCACACATTTGCACACAAACACAGATTGCTCCTCAATCATTGCTGGATTAGTGCTCATTGAAAAGGTCAAGCTGCATTTATGTGGCAGGAATGGAAAAAACAAGGCTGGACAAACAACACTGTTCCAGAAACACAAGATGAGCTAATATAATGGCATCTGCATGGCTGTACAGTACACCTGTTCGACTGTCTTTTGCAGACTTGTTTTTTAAATCCTACTTTTGTTAACTATCAAATGTTTTCATTTATAAGGCTGAAGAGTCTCCTCTATGCCCAATGGCAAGCTGTAATGAAGGAGCAGCTTGATAAGAAAGAAAATGAACATAGCAGTCAAATATTAATGTCTTCAGGCTGCAAATTAACAAATCAAACCATGATTACAAACCTGGTTTTATTTGGATCAGAAAAATAAGCAAAACTGTGAGAGTGATTTGATTGCAACCACCAGGAAAGTCATTTAAAAATGATTCTGTAGGAACAGGTGGAGTGATTTCATTCAGAAAAAAACACTACGAAACTTCAGTACACTCAAATGACACTTCCCCCGCCAGGTTTTATGACCTCAGGGCTTTCATTCAGAAAAATAAAGGCATTTAAATGGCTTAAGATGCCAAAGTGACGTTCTCTCCACTGCTGAGAGGATGCAGTGAGACAATAAGGTAGAGATCAGAGGTGTGACTCAGAGACAG